TCTTGTTTCGTGGTGTTTTTTTTTTTTTTTTTTTTATAGAGGGTCAGGCTAAGGTCGATTGTAGACCATGGAATTGCATCACAGCTGAAACAGCTTATTGTGCACCCTCATTCACAGGTCCTCATTCTCTGTCAAATCCCAGGTTCTTAGTGAACCATGAGATCCTTTTGACTATGATTACCTGTTCTTCCCTTTGATCTCCGGTTGATAGGCCAAGGGGTCTCACACGCAGACCTTGTAGAGCTGGACCCATAAATATCACGTGGAAGGCTGTCTCCTCCTCTCCAACACATTCTCTACATAAGAGGCTTTCAACTTGAATTCCCATCTTGTGTAGATCCGCAAGGTCTTTATATTTATCCCAAGGGCATCTGACGCTATCGCACGAGTAGGTGTCAGCATGCTCTTTGCTATATGTTGTCTTCTGTTCTTTCCCAGTTCCTTCGATGTTCTATGCCCATTCACTGGCGAACAGCTCTCCGCGCTGTGTTGTAAGCAATACCACACGTCGGCTCTGGACCCATGAGCAGACTTTTAGCTCCCTTATTTACCCATTTGTCAGCTCCCTCATTGCCAGCAATACCTTTGTGTCCTGAAACCCAACTAAGGATATCCTTGTTGTTCTCTCCAAGAGCTTTCATGGCCTGATGACAGTCCCATTCTGCCTTATAGGTAAACTCGCCTTTGGCTCGCTGGGGGCTCCGCCCCCAGGCCCCCTTTTTTGGTACGGGGTAAATAGAAATGGGCCATGGCGCAAGACCTGCAATTGAGCCAAATTTCAGATCTTTAGCTATTTTAGAAGTGGGTAAAATCTATTTAGACCGATGGACCTGTAGGAATAACATTGGGGGGGGATTCTATATTTCGTGGGGGAGGGAGTTATATTTGTAAAATGTCACTTTTCGGAAAGGGTGCAAGATCTACAATCATTCAAAATTTCAGATATCCAGTTAATCTAGAAATGTGTAAACGTGATTTAGACTTATGCACCTGTAAGAATAACATTGGGGGGATTTAATATTTGGGGGGGGGGTTGTAAATACGATAGGGAGATAAAACCTTAAGTAAACCAGAGTAAATCTATAGCATAAACGGACCATGGGAACGGGGACTTATGGTGGTTTTTATGGGGTAAATGTTTTCTCCATTTGAATAACATGGGGCTCGTAAAAACTTTCAAATGTTGACATTAAACCTAAGTTTTGGGGGTTAAGGAGTAAAGTTACGAACAAACACGTACCGTGTAAAATTTAAACTAAAGTAAGGAGAATACAAAGCAATAATAATATTTGCAAAAAGGAATGATTTAAGTATAAAAAAATAGTGAAAACCGGTTAAAAGGTTGAAAGAAATTTACCATATTTTGAAAGTAGGGAGTTTTTTGAACCCGAAAGAGTGCGATTTTCGGAAAACACCTACGAGGGTTTTCCCTAGAATCATCATCCTAAAGTAGACACAATAACTTCAGCTTTATAAAACTATTAATTTTAACTTGGGGGGTTAATTTGTTCGTCAGCAAAGTAATTTACTCTTTAAAGCATTTGCCATAATTATTGCACGAGGTCACTCTGTTGCAAGACCACAACAAAGGTTCTAAAGGTTCTGGACGTCTCTGCCTTACATGACCTCAACTGACAACCTCTGACTGACAACCTTTGAAATGTCAGTACCATCGCTGACAAAGGAAAAAAACTATTTTTTTTACTGTGACTTGTTTCCTTTGGTTTGTATACTAATAGAAGTTTTTAGTTTTTGTATTGACTATTGAGTACAGAGGTTGTTTCAATAGTCAAAGGTTTTTGTTTCCAAGCAATGCTGATTTTTTTAAAGTCATACAAGCTACTTTTCAATTGGGACTTTAGAATGTGTTATGTTTGTTCAATATAGAAAAAATTTATGCTCAATAAATCTTATTGTAAATCTGTTTAGAACTGTCAACAGTAGTCAAACTGCTATTGAAAACCATTCGCTGTTCCTTACCATTGGAAATTTACCATCCCAATTTAAAGAAATTTTTTTAGCACTAGCCATCGAAGGAATTCCGTATTACGAGTCCAACTTATTTAGCAGTGAGATTTATAGTTAGAATGACCCTTTAAATGTACACGACTCATAAAAAAAAATTGTTTTTTAGAGCCTTTTTCTGTATTTTAATATTCCTTAGAAATATGTTTGGCCAGCTTATGATAAAATATCTTCACATATTGTTAGCATCTCATTGATCTCTACATCAGTTATTGATCTCTTTGTCAGTTACAGTCGTTTTATCAGTTTTCTCTATTTTATTAGTAGACATAAACAGTTATAAAAAAATCGGAATCGAACTACAATCTCTCCAAAACTCATTTAAGGTAAGAACTGAATTAAAACAGTTTTTATTAATTTGTTCTACGATATCAATCTACAGCTTTTTAGCTTAGTTTAACATATGTCATCCCTGAAAATGTGTAATTAACATTACAGTTTTATTCCTATTATAGTGTTATTAACTTTATACACTATAAACGTCAAAACTCATGTTCTCCCATCTGGAGAGAAATCTGCATGCAAAGTTATGAAATGCATGAAGCTTCTTTGTATAATGAAGAGTGAGAGAGTAAATCTTGCACGGGTGTTGCATATAAAGCATAGACTAGTTCTAACACCTCAAGTATCTTTGTTAACACTATCGTATGTTAGTTATCCTCTAAGATAAAGGTTACCTTTCATTATCACACTTAATCTATTAAAATATATAAACGTTACTAATTTTTAAGTATTTTTTTAAATACTAGTTCCAACTTTTCTAATTATTTATTTCTATTATTTTAAATATTTATGTTTGATACTCTTTGCGATACGCCCATAGTTACTCGTTTCCTCTATGTTGACATTTGTATTTGAAATGATTTTAATTAACATCTGTTCTATTTTATAGTTTTCTTTGTTAATAAATATTTACAGTTCAGTAAAGCACTTTCTTACTTTTTTATTCGAATTTATATTTTATTTCAACGCAACGCAACGCAGTTATCTTAAAAACTGTGTAGGCATTTGTACAAAAATACAGCAGTTTAAAAAACGAAGGTCTTTGATTAACATAGAATAAAATAAAATAATATTAAGACGAGCATAATTATTTAAATGCATTTTTAAGATTGTTTTCTGAAAAAGTACAAGTGATATGTGTTCCGTATTCAAGCGCTACCTAGATATTTCCAGACGTTTCATATCATACAATAACCTTTGTCCTGTCACGTGATGTCTGGAAACCCCAATCTCGCCCCAGTTCTCTTGCATTCATGCAACTACTAACATGTCCCCGGCACAATTAACTCCCAATTGCTGCTCTCATCTCTTAACCCCAAAGTATATTTAATTATTATTAGTGACACATATTAAAAGTGAACTATTGAACATTTGTGAAGTGAAACACTACTACTGCCGGTCCGGGTCTGTGTACGAGCAATACGCAATAGCTGGCCAGCAGAAGAAACTCGTGTACGTCTACCGGCTTCGTCTTCTCAACACTTCAGTTAAAAGGAAGGTACCTCATCAATCTCATTACAGTATTATCTGTTAAATAATTAGTGACAAGTTTTTAATATTGCTCTTTCAACATACAGTCCATTTGAACATTTTTAGGCAAGTTTACCCCCCATCCGCTGGTCCTTCGAGCCGGATGAAAATCATATCATTAATAATATATTGTGCTTTTATTAGCCTAGCTACTGTAACTGTTAAAATTGTACAACTAAACTCTTAAAAGTGTCACTTCTCTAAATAATTAGAGCAGCATTTGTATTCCCCATTACTATTTTTGGTGAATAAATAATATTTTATTTCATTCCCCTGTGCCATCTCAGACGTGAATATTTCATGTTAGTTTCATGTTCATGTCCTCCCACTGCTACATGAATCACGTCATATTTCCTTTCAAATAGTTATTTGAAATCAGGAATTAGTTAGGATATTTAATATTTTCTCTAAGTTTCTCAATCAATTCACCATATCAATTATTGTCATTAACAATAATTTTTGTCTGCACTTTGTTTCGTCCTTAATTTTCTAACATATTTTCACTTATCAGAAAGTCAGCCATTTTATATTTTCTGTCCTTGCGATGCACCTTGGTAGCGAACTTCTCCACTAGAGCGCTCTGCCTACAGTCGGCACGTCGCAAGAACCAATGAGCGTCGAGATTCGTAAAACAGAATAAATCGCCCAATGATATTGCTTCTTCAAATTGATCATATGTAAAACTCTGTTTCAAGCACAGGAAATCAGCTGACTGAATATAAAACACTCCAGCTACATACAGCTGTGTGAATTGAATCAAAATATAAACGTAACCTTCAAGTTTATTTACATCTTGGAAAATATTGTTTTGTGTGAATATTAAACGAAATATTAGTGGTTGAATCGATTCTTGTCTACATTAAGGATATTGCTCATAATAAATACTTCCCTACTCAATATATTCTGCGAAAATACTGATTCAAATGAAATGACTTGTGTTAAATAGACTTTACTTTTATTTACTATGTCTATCTTGGGTCTGATGGTAAAGTGAAATATAATTTTACATTCATTATTTCTTATAGAGTGAATGTAAAAGAATTGATTTATTCTGAGCTATTAATTTGCATTATTGTTAGGTCTAAGACTTGGAGTTATTTTGATATTTAGTTGTTGGGAATATTTACATAGGCCTAAACTTATGTTAAACTTAGGCCTATAGCTTACTCTTTTGATTACATAAATGGTCTGTTAAAATGAGATTCTCTACACTCGAGAAAAAGGCAAAACTTGTCAAAAATAGGCAAATTCAGAAAATAAGCAAGTTTGTGTCAGCCCAAATTACTCTCTCAGAAACTCAATCATTAAATGTTGTATCCATTCAGCGCTTACACAACTATGATGATGAAGTTAGAGGTTTATTCTCTGATTTTAAAGCTTTATTCGATAAAGTGGTTTATGATGATCCTGGTTCTGATTATGACGAAACTGAAGCATGCTCTATGCAAGATGAAATTTCGGACTTGTACATTTCTCTGATCAGTGACTTGAAAATAGTGTTACCTGCTAAAACTAAAGAAGTAACACCTCCCACCCAACCATCTCTGCGACTGCCCAAATTTGAGTTGCCCAAATTCAGCGGTAACTACGAAGAATGGGTTAGCTACTACAATATTTTTGAGGCTTCTATTAATAGGAATGAAACTTTGGCCCCTGTGAGTAAGTTCCAATATCTGCTTAGTTCTTTAAGTGGTGAACCCTTAGATTTAGTAAAGAGCTTAAGCATAACTGCAGAAAACTTTGATGTTGCACTTAGGCTGCTTAAGGATCGCTATGATAACAAAAGGCGTGTTGTAACTCAGCTTGTTACAAAAATCATTGATTTGCCAAGCATAAGTAGTGGTTCTCTCAAAAGTCTCCAACATTTTCTCACAGTTTATAAAGAGAACACTCAAGTTTTGAAAAATCTCAACCATGACATAACAGCTGAAAATACTCTGCTTGTCCTAACGCTTTTGAAAAAGTTACCTACTGATTTAAGAAAATCTTTTGAGGATTCTCGCATCACAAACAATGACATACCTGCAGTAAATGATCTAATTCAATTCCTTGAAAGAGAATTTAAACGATTAGAAGGAGCTAGTATCGGTCTTGGTCCCTCAGCTAACGCAAGATACCCTTCAGTGCAAAAGACTCAATCTAATAGTTATAGGCCTAAACCTCTTCGAGATAGTAAACCTTACTCCTCTCAAGCTAAAACAGCTTTCGTCACAGTGACTAACACTTGTAAGTTTTGTCAAGCATCCGATCACAATATATACAAGTGTCAAGCCTTTCAGGCTAAAAGTAGAGGTGATAGAGTTGAATTCACTTGTAAAAATAATCTATGCGCCAACTGCCTAGGCCATCTACATGATACTAATAACTGTCCTTCTCATAGAGTGTGTCGAATTTGTTCAAAGCGACATCACACTCTCTTACATGACTCAACTCCCACACAACAGCAGCCAAGTTACCCAACCAAGGTTTTTGAAAAAAAATATGGTAAGCCACCTACAAATAACGCACCCCAAAGCCATGTCACCGCACCAGTGAATAAAAGTGCTCTTGTAGGATTGTCTAGCCAGTTAAACCCAACTAAAACAACAATTTTACTTGGAACATGTTTAGTTCAGGTGTTTTCCAAAGATGGTCAGCAAACTGTACTCCGTGCTGTGCTCGACTCTGCATCTCAACTTACATTGATATCTGAAAGAGCTGTTCAGCTCATCAGTGCCTCCCATACTCGAGCACATGATGAAATCCAAGGAATTTCTGGCTCACTAATCCATTCTAGAGGAATAGTGCACATTGATATATCTGCAGTTAATGGTCAACGCTTAGCCTACCATCATCCATGCTTGGTTTTGAATCGTATCACTTCACCACTGCCTCAGGTCCCAGTCTCACCTCAAGTGAAGGGATCTTTAAATGATTTTGTTCTTGCAGACCCCTGTTTTGACAAACCTGGAGAAATTGATCTATTGATCGGAGCTGATTTATTCGCTCTCTCACTGACTGGTGAGCAGCACTTCTTAGGCCATAACCTGCCCCAAGTTTTAGGAACTATATTCGGATTTGTTGTAATGGGCATAGCTCCTGTTGCTACATCTGAGTTATCAATCCCAAAAACTGTTTCTTTTCTCACTACACATGATGGAGACCTTCACAGTTCACTTCAAAGGTTTTGGTCAATCGAAGAACCCCCGACATGTGTCAAGACTCAGTCAGAAGAAGATGTTCTCTGCTTACAGCATTTTGAAAGAACCCATACACGTGATAACTCTGGTCGATATGTTGTTAAGTTACCGAAAAGACCAAATCATCCACTATTAGGTGAATCTTGTAGTACAGCTCAACTTAGACTTAAAGTGATGGAAAGAAAATTTGCTGCTCAGCCCGAATTCAAAGATTTATACTCCGAATTTATGGATGACTACATCAAATCAGGTCACATGAGTGCATGTGAGCAACCCATTTCTGGTGAATGTTACTATCTACCCCATCATGGAGTATTTAAGGAGAATCCCCCTAATTCCAAAATACGAGTCGTATTTGATGGTAGTTCCAAAACAAACAATGGCGTCTCCCTAAACGATATCCTCATGCCTGGCCCTAAGTTGCAGAATTATATTAGTGATGTCTTGCTGTACTTTAGGTGTCACAAGTTTGTGTTCACTTGTGATATACGACAGATGTATCGCCAGATTCTGGTGGCTGAAGATGACAAGAAATATCAGTTAATCTTTTGGCGATCCAACCCTGATGAATCCCTTCAAGTCTTAAAGCTAAATACCGTCACCTACGGTCTCAACTGTTCCCCGTTCATTGCGATCAGAACATTACAACAATTGGTCAAAGATGAGGGTCACTCATACCCCAAGGCGTCTGAGATTCTAACTAAATCAATATTTTATGACGACATCATCGCTGGAGCAGAAAGTCTTGATGAAGCTTTGTCTGCACAGAATGAACTCAAGAACTTGCTCTCTAGAGGAGGTTTTGAAGGGATCATCTCATAACTCCAAGTTTTCATAACTCCAAGTGATCATAACTCCAAAGTTTCATAAGTCCAAGAGATCATAACTCCAAATTATATTTAATCCAAAGTTTCACAACTACAAGTACCCGAAAAGGGATAATTTCATTACTCCAAGAAAAATATAAGTGCAAGTGATCATAACTCCAAAGTTTCATAAGTCCAAGTGATCATAAATCCAAAGTTTCATAAGTCCAAGTAAAAATTAAACCAGAGTCTCATAACTCCAAAAGTTGAGTGGAGTCTCATATCTCCAAGTGGAATGTGTAGTACAGTCAGCGCCACAAGTTCCTGCGCTGTCCGCTCCGCTGTAATACTGTCAGCAGACTTTGCCGCTTCATTGTATCTATATACCTACCGTCGCCTGTCAAACGATTATGTAATTTTGTTATATACTTACAGATTAATTAATTGCTATACTTCTTACTTCTATGCTAAAGGTACTTTAACCTTTAACTACCCGCGCGGGTTTTACTAACGTATGTACTCGCGTGGGGTGTTTTTGACACCCCGTTATTACATATTTGTTATAATTGTATTAACAATTATTGGTAAATAACATTTTTTGTTGTTATTTAAGTTTATTTTACTGTATACTGTTTCCAAAATGAAAGAGTTATTTATTTTAAGTTATACAATGTAAATAATATATTTCTTTTACCAACTGCCATTTGTGTGTGTATTTGGTCAAGTTTTGCATATAAACCATTTGTTGTATTAAAAAATATGTATTTTGTCATTGAACTGTTTGATATTGAATAACTAGCATATGTACTACCCGGAAAATATATCATTTTTAAAAGATTATATTACTAGCTGTAACCCGCGGGCTTTGCCCCGTTTAACTTCTTAATTTTCAAGATTATCTCGTTCGCATGGCTCAATCACGTCCTGGTTGAAGTTTGTTCGCTACGCTCACTCACCTTTAGGTTGGAGCTCGTTCGCTACGCTCACTCACCTTTAGGTTGGAGCTCGTTCGCTACGCTCACTCACCTTTAGGTTGGAGCTCGTTCGCTGCGCTCACTTGCCTTCAGGTTAGCTCGTTCGCTACGCTAACTCGCCTCCAGGTTGAAGTTCGTTCGCTACGCTCACTCACCTTTTGGTTGCAAATTAGCTGTTGTCATAAATGTATAAGAAATAATAGTGCTGCACCCTGTTGGTAATTTTTGTAACTTTAATGCTATTGAACATCACAGAACAGAACCAACTTGTTTAATTGAAACAGCTGTTAAGATTCAATAATTTCATTTCTCATAAGGTTAACATGGGAAACTCCAGAGCCACTGGGGCGGAGCCCGAAAGGATTTTTGAAATAAGAATATGCCTATATGTTAATCGGGAATGTGAGCTATCATCATGCCAAATTTCAGCCCAATCCGACCAGTATTTTTCGCGTTCACTTGTCACAAACATACATCCATACATCCATCCATACATCCATACATCCAAACTTTCTCATTTATAATATTAGTAAGATGTCTGTGAATGGTAAAGATATTATTTTTCCCTAAAATGTACTACTAAAAAACAGTTTTTAGGGGGGGGGGGTCGTAATACACACAAGTTTTGTGCGAACAAATTTATTTATATGTCAAAAACACTTGTTTGTTATCGAAATAAATGTAAATAAAAAATGTCCTTTCATTACTTTTAGAGTCTTTCGCAAAAAGAAAAACATTACCTTATACAGGAACTTGTACTTTTTAAGAAACGTTAACACTCACGTGGGGAGTTGAAAACACCCTATACTTTGTAATACACCTGTATTACCAAGTGAACACTAGAGATCGCACGGGGACTTTGCATGAGAAACGTTCCTGTGTTTCACAGTTTTAACTTTACATTTCAGGTAATTTACACTAGGTATACAAAGCAGTTGTCTGCTTGCAATATTGAGCAGATAGCAGACATAATAATCAAATAATTTTCTGAAGACAATGTTACATATGTTTCTCGTAAATGAAATGTATACTTGCAGTATCCAATCTCATTAGTATATATTTTGTTTCAAATGAATGAAATGTCTAATTTCGTTATTCAAAGTCAATTACAAGTCTGGTTCAATTAAATGTATTGTCTACTTCAAAGTATATATGTTTCATCTTTTTCTCATAAATTAAATGTATATTTGCAGTAGCAGTATCCTAAATCAATAGTACACCAGCTTCACAAAAATGAGAAAATTACTTGCAGTATCCAATGTCAATGGTCCATTTGGTTCACATAAATGAGATGCCTATTTGCAGCATTCAAAGTCAATGATACGTCGGGTTCACTTAAACGAATTGTTTACTTGAAGTATACAAACTCAATGGTACATATCGTTCACATAAATAAATTGTCTACTTGCAGGATCCAAAGAAATGGTTAATTTGATTCCCATAAACGGAGTGCCGATTCGCAGTATATTAAGTCAATGTTACGTCTGGTTTACGTCAATGGAATGTCTACTTGCAGCATCTTAACTCAGTGGTATCTTCGGTTCATATTAATGGAAGTCCTAATTATTGCAGTACCTATTCAAAGTCTGCATTATTTAATTGTAAGTCTAGTTCGCTGAAATGGAAAGCCTACTTGGAATTTCAAGTTAAATGGAAATATAACTCAATGGTAGGCTTATATTTGGTTCAAATGTAATGGATATGTAGATTATTTAAAGTCAAAGGTGTTTCAGCCTTATTCCGGTGACCATAATTATTGGTTATTATTATTGGTTGTTGCCTGATAGGATTTACACTAAAATGCCTCCTTAAAAATATCACATTTATTCCCTATTCAAATACTATAGAGTTAATTTAGCGAGTACTTAGGTTTGCTGCAACAGGGAGGGGAAACAGTGTTTTTGTTGTAAAGTGTTAATAGTTTAGTAAGAAATTAATGTATTTTCCAAATCTGATCAACATTTGTTAATAAACAATCAAACTACAAAGCCTAAATTATTCTCCATAAGAATGACATTAGAATTTTCTCCGTAACCTGTAAACCCGATTTCCATCAAAATTATTGTGTTGTGGCCTTTATTCTAATTCTAAACTAAATAATGCAACCCCCAGTACTGTAACGATTACGGTTCAAAATTTATTGCCATTTTGTGATTTTTCCTACTAAATTATCATAGTAGCATAGACTAACCAACAGTATGTTTTATCTATGATAGTAGTTACTCCCACTGCTTATCCATGATACTAGTTGTTGACAAGCTTTTGGAATAATGTATGTGTCAGATTGCTGATTCTGTTTATTTTATAGAGAATGGTTTAAAAAAATGTATCATCATTAGAGCTTACAAGAGATATTGGCCTTTCTTACTTAGATTTACTCTTTTTAAACGGACTGTTCAGAAGACGGGGCACGGAAGCCACGTCATGTTGGTAACATTGACAATTCGAAGTAAGCGGCAGGCAGGTTGCCAGTATGGATACTAAAAAAGTCCCACACGCCCCTGCTCGCCCCTCCACGCAACTCTCCAGCAATTCCAGAACATGAAAGGATCCATAATGTCATATGGGTTCAAGTTATGACCAAATGTTACAGGACCACTTTTGTTAGCTATATTGTTCTACACCTTTTAATTTGTCTAAATCTTCTCTAGAGTCATTATTAAAAGAATTAATAAATATTTTCGTAATGAGCGACATTTTCTGCCTGTAGGCTACACGAAACGTGATACGTATATCTATACAGAGTGATCAACTCAAGGAGGCCACCATTGGGATATTGGAAACGGTAAGAATGAGAGAAAACTTTAAATGGGGGACATTCCTTTATTTTTTGTGGCAGTTAAAAATATGATTTTGTATTTTCAAAATTCAGCCGCCATTTTCCAAAATGGCGGCCAACTTTGAAATTTCTTATAGAACACCCTATATTTCATCATGTTTTCGGATAGAACATGCAATTTAAAAACTTTTTTATTCTTAACATTTTTTCGATAAACCCACTCGTTTAGGAGTTACAGCCTAATTATTTAAGCTGCAATTCAAAGAAAAGCGTCCTACAAAAATTAAATCTTTAAAAAATAAATCATTGAAAGGACCCATTTGCAAATTATTGAAACATTAAAAGTCATAGAACGTCCGCTAGTAGAAGAAATAGAGATAATATTTTTTTAAAGAATTAACTATCGTCATTAGCCTGTATAATGAAGAACACCTGCAAGATTCAGATTCCTACAAACTATGAACGAGGATGTTAGCCGAAGTGCTACAATTTTTAGTAGGAAACATGGACTTAACTTTGTGATCATTGCAAAGGAAATCCCTCTAAAGCCAAATAAATCTGGTACGTCAATGACATTAATCTATGTTTTCATACAAGTCAAGCAATTTTAATAATAGCCTATGAAAATATCCAAGAGCCCCTTACTAACATTTTACTGAAGGCATTTAATTATTATTCATATAATAAGGGAAACAAAAATCAACTGAACAACAGAAGGTCTTTAACTCTGCATTTTCTCAGGTAAATATAATTAACGTTATTGCAACTAAACAAAAAATACACTAATTGAACAAATAAAATTGTGACGGACAACAGCAAGTCCTTAAGGTGATAAAAACAGATTCTATCCTTATTAAAGAATAACTGAAATTTGTAAACTTACTGCTGGTGACAAAGGTGGTAGCACGCATAGGTTTATCAATAACGAAGATAAATATGGACAACCTTATGCGGCTATAAGTCAGGAAATGTTTGTAGAAAACATTAAAAAGCAACAACAGAAATTATGAAATTATGAAATATGATAAAATATTTACAGGAAATGTTGATTACTGTTATGTACATCGTGAGTACCTCCATATGATACACACCGGTAGGCTTTGAGTTGACTTTTTAAACTCATTGTAAATATTACTGTTATTGTTTTTGAAATAACTTCTGTAATACCGGTACTTTGCAATTGCTTGAATTCGAGCAAAATGTACACTAGTTAGTATTGGTAACAGATTCCTTACTCTCATAAACATATGTTTTGATGCCACA